CCCCCGCTTAAATCTCTACATGCACCCACCTTTTAATTTTTGTCTCTTTCCTTGTATCAAACATGAACTAGGGCATGAAATCTTAGTAGATTTTGTGGGTATAGATAGATATTACAAGAAATATTTAAGGTTTGAATTTCAGTTATGAAGAGAATTCGTTGTTTCTATGGTTGATAGGTAATAGGTAGAGAAGAAATGAAATCTCATGCACCATTTTACCACTATATCATCTGAATTCTGATTCTCATAATCCCATCAGATTGCATACATATCCTTGAGCGTTGAATAATCTCTTCTATCACAATTTATAAGCCAAAACACAGACTTCTACTTTTATATTAATAACTAGACACTCAACGAAATCATACATAAAATAAACAGAGAAAAAAGAGAGAAATATATATATATATATGGAGGCACAAGGGAGAGGAGAAGGGCAGGAAGATCAGCAAAATCGACGCGAAGTGAAGCCGCCGGAGCAAATGTCTCGCCACCAACCTCCTCCACCTCAAAGGTGCCCTCGCTGTGACTCTGTCAACACCAAATTCTGCTACTTCAACAATTACAGCCTAACTCAACCGCGTTATTTCTGCAAAGCTTGTAGAAGGTACTGGACTCAAGGGGGGGCCTTGAGGAACGTCCCCGTTGGCGGTGGCTGCAGGAAGAACAAGCGAAGCAAAGGCCCATCATCGTCTTCGAGCAGTGGTGGTGACAGGGAAAGAACTCAACATCTAATACCAGCACTTCCACCGCAGAACTTGACTGGCATGGCGGGTGGGATTTTGGGGAATTCTGGGATATTACCCGGGAACCAATCTGTGAGGACCTTGCCTTTAATGGGTTCCTTCTATTCCGGTGGAGAATTCTTGTCGACTGTGGCTTCCATGCAATCCCTAAACCAGCAGCCAAGAATCAATCAGCTGCCGGTGAATTTGGGTGGTGGCCACCATTTTGGTGGTGGTGCGAACATGGCACTTTTGCAAGGGATGAATCTTCCAGCGGGACAAATCCAGCCTCAGAATGAAACTTTCGCATCACAGCAATACGTGGTTCCGCCAAGGCCTCTCGGTTCTTGGACTCAAAACTTCATCAGCAACGCCACCAACATTTCAGCCTCAAACCCAAGTTTCTGGAACAACAACATCGCTGGCACCACCACCAACAGCGGAATGGGTTTTTCGATCAACCCAAATCAATGGCCTGATAACCTTCCTGGCTATAATCCATCTCAGTAAATTTTACCAATCCAAACTATCAAGTTCTGTAGACAATGCAAACACAATTTCTCTTATATTTCTGTGGTCGAATATTGGGTTTTCTTTGTATACGGTTAATTTGGTTTGTGATCGAAATAGGTTTTTAATTTTCATATTGTATGCAAAGAAAGTACATATATATAACAAATCTGTGTTGTTACCTTCTTTCTTATAGAGAAATTGTGTTGGATTAGGTTTGCATCGCAGACCTTTTTACTTTTCGATCAAAGTTTATGCCATTTACTTTTGTAGCTTTATATAAATTTTAACCAATTTTGCAGAAGAAAAGAAGTTGCTTTGGTCATGTTCTTGTTAACTAGGGTTTGTAGACCATAAT